TGCACTACAACCCACAGGTACTCCTCATGGATTATTTGAGATGTCTCCCTTAGATGTCAAGAATAAACTGGTGGATGAGGCCTATGTTGAACAACATAACTTCGCTTCTTTTAGCAAGAAAGCCTTAGACATAGAGGCAAAGCTTGGGACCACGCATCAGAGTCAAGGTGATGGTAGGAAGAAGAGACTTTCCCAGGACTGGAAGAAGGGTCAACTAATGTTCGTCAACCATGATGGTCAGGCGACTGAAATTGACGACTTCTCATATCTTGGGGAGGAGACAGAGGATGATGGGGCCAATGAGACTTCGAATGGGGGAGTTGTGGCGCCTATCAAAGAAAAGACTAGGGGGACCGGGAAGAAGAAGGTAGTACGGTTCACGGGTCAGGGCGACCACGGAACGTCCGCATGGGTGAAACTTGGTTTAGAGTACGAGGTGGGGAGGGACCGAGTTGCTAGGGGTACGTGTATGAACTGTGGCAACTATGGCCACAAACCCAGAACGTGCCGAGGTAAGAAAGTCCTAACGAAGGTGGTGGGACTATCTTCGAACCCTGGCGGTGCTTCTGCGAGCACTTCACAGGGAAACACCTCGGGCCAGTAGGTGTTTTAGCCGCTCTTACTCGCGCTGAAGTGGTAATGTTGCCTTCTCCACTTCAGGCGTTGGCCAGGGCTCGTGACCCACGTATTGCGCCTCAGACACATTCGAGACGCAATGGTCAAAGGAGAATTTGAATGGGGAGCAACTCGTATTCCGCCGAAACCTGGGAAGAATGAAAAGCGTCCACTGGGAGTATCATGCTTCAAGGACAAGATCGTACAAGAAGTTGGACCTAACTCACCTGAAGCGCACTGCAGACTCAATCTTAAATGAAAATGAAAAAAATGAGAGCATACGGTGGAACCGGTGAACCATTCGAATCTCTTTTCGAATGGGGCAGAGGGCTCATAGTACCTTTATTTACAGCAGCAACCTAGCAATAGGCGCATAGCGCAACGTTGGTCTGGTTGTGTACAAAGTCAGCAGACGGGAAAGAGCCAAAGTCGATGGATGTTTTATAAAGTTTCTGGAACTTGGTCGAATCATGAAGGTAGTCTCTTATTATGGTGTTGGGTCTTGAGTCTTTATGGTTTTGTCTTTTGTTTTCGAACTCGCAACGAAGTTGCCATGACTAGTGCCCCTCTTATGATTCACAAATGGATTGCTTTATTTTTCTCTGTTTTTTATGTTTAACCTCCAATCCTTTTCTTCGAATTTCCTTTTTAAGCACTGATTCTGGAAAAGAATTCAACCCTGTTCTATAAGACCCCGTATTGGCTATACTGACAAACACAACAAATAGTAAGAAAAATGGTTCCTACGATGACATGAAAGCCATGGAATCCAGTAGCTAAAAAGAATGTAGAGCCATATATCCCATCAGAAATGGTAAAAGGAGCTTCCACATATTCCATTCCTTGAAATGCAATAAAAACTAAGAAAAAAAAAATTGATGCAATTTGTCCAATAGTTACATAGGGTGCTTCCACAGGTTGCCATCCAATCTAGCCTAGAAGTAAACAATTTGCCACAAGTAACCAAAAAAGTTTTTGATGAATGGGTCTAAAAGTTGAACTTCATACGTATGAAGTGTTAATAAAAAAGCAATAGCTTCAGTCAAAGCAAAACCTAAAATGGGTAGGGTCAGAGGTGAGTCTCTGCCCTCCCAAGTTTTTCACCTGATTTTTTGTTACTCATGTCAGCATTCTCACTTCTGATATCTCCAACTGTTTTCACAAACAGCCATCTTCAACTTACAGAACGTTCCGCTACTGACCGCGGAAGATCCGCTGGAACTGTTAAGACCACTGCCTATTCCAAGTGAGCCATGTGAGTCTATCTCTATAGACTTTATGAGTCTCACTAAGAGTTGAAATGACAGCAGTTAGGTAATGGTTATCGTAGATAGATTCTCAAAGTATGCTATGTTCATTCCTTTGCCTATCGAAGCTAGAACCGAACTGGTCATCCAGAAGTTTTAGATGCGATGGGTTTCTGAGTATGGATTCCCGAAAACCATCGTCTCTGACCCGGATGTTCGGTTCACTAGTCTATAATGGCAAAAGTTGATGGAAGTCTATGGCACCAGGTTGACCATGTCATCAGGTAGACATCCTGAAATGAATGGCCAAACTGAGCAAATGAATTGTTTATGCCAACAACTTTTTCGCACGTATGCCCGACCCGATCACATAGATTGGGATGAGAACTTACCTAAGATTGCTTGCTTATAACAACAGTATACTTACTATTATAGGACGGACGCCAAATGCACTGCATAAGGGTTGGAAGCCTCAACGTCCCATTGATGCCTTAACTAGGGACCAGATTCAGAGGTTACCCCTAGGAACCCGTGAACTTGCAGTTTTGTATGAAGAAGACATCAAAAAGGTAAAAGAAAGTATATAGAAAGCCCAACTTCAGATGATTGAGCAGGCTAACAAACATCGTCAGCCATCACAGTTTCAAGAAGGAGATCTGGTTTGTGCGAAATCTAAAGAATTTGCCTTAGAAGAAAATGTATCTAAAAAATTGTTCCCTGTCTAATATGGTCCCTGGGAAGTTCTCAAGGTGATTGGGGATGCAGATGGACTCTCCTATCGAATAGATGTACCCCCACACCTAAGGACCTATCCTGTCTTCCATGCGTCTAAACTGCTACCGTATGTCGAAGGGAATAACTTTCCTAACAGACCATCTATGTTCCCACCCTCCATGAATGGAGGATATGAAGTTGAGAAGATTCTGGAACATGGCTATTTTTCTACATGTGGTATTGGAAGACCACAAAAGCAGTATAAGGTAAAGCTCAAGTCTCAACCTCCTACAAAAGCCAGATGGTTTAGTAAGAAAAAACTCTTACCTACTGCTCCTGACATTGTTGCTGCATACGAACGGGGGTTGAAGGAAAATGTCTTTCTTGCGATGGAACTCCAAAATTGGGCCGGCAGGAATGCAATAACCCATACAGTATGCCCGTAGAAAGTCTAAGGGCCTCGCCAGGCCACACCCAGGCCCATGCCGAAAAGGGGGAAAAGACCCCAGCTACGGATTCAGGGCCTGCGCGAGGAACAGTTGACTAAAGTCAACTGTCGGGACCCAACAGTCAAAGTCCAAAGTGGACCCAGCCCAGGCCGTTGGTCAGACGCACACACTTGTTTGTATGCAGGTACCCAGACAGCATCAAGACCAAGGGGAAATCTGCAACTGTACACAATCCAGGCCCTCGGCTGTGAGTCAATCTGCACGACTGTGGGAAGGGGAACCAAGGCCAGACAGCCTCGTCAAACACTACAAAGGGCCTGGTCTCGAGGTGGTCAACATTCAGTCTTGCTATGCTGCTTGGACGCTGGCTCGACTCTGACTGGACACTGACATTGACGCTGGCTTTGCACAGGCACTGTGGACGACGACGCGGGAGTGTGGTAGCATGCTGGCGCTTTCTGCTTTGTGCGCCAGGCATTGCTGATGTGGCGTTGCCACCTGTCTATCCTGCTGATGTGGGGCATGTCACTTGTCTGCATTGCTGATGTTGTGCATGCCATTGGTCTACATGTCTGATGTGGCGCATGCCACTGGTCTACATTGCTCATGTGGCGCTGCCACCTGTCTACATTGTGTTGCTGATGTGGCGGTGCCACTTGTCTTCATTGATGATGTGGCGCATGCCACCTGTCTCTACATCTGACGTGGCATTGGCCACGCTGTCTACATGAGGTGACTGGTTGCAACAATGAGGGAGATCGGGATCTGTGGATGATTGGGATCGGGTACTCACCTGAGGTTGACGTCGTTACAGTAATCTGCTGTTGTCTTCATGGTCTTCACGAGATAAGAGTGCCACGTGGCAGTTCTGTGTGATCAGGACTTATCATACTTGTTATCGTGTATTGGTTGATGACGTGGAGGAGAGAGGAAGCCCGGTGAAGAAGTGGGGTTTGATTGGATTACTCTTGGGTGATCATTGTTTGTCTCTTCCATCTTCACCTGTCTATTCCCCCTCCACTCTCTTCGTCTAATGGTAACGAGATACTGTTTCAGATATCACTTCACGTTAACTGGAGACTTTGTGCAGATCTGAGACTACTTGTGCTTGACGTCGGACGAGTATCTGCCAGACTGGGTTCATTGCACTAGCGGATTAAGGGTGTTACTAAGCACTTTCACAGAAGTCTACCTTTCGTTATCGGTGTCCTCTGTCACTGTTACGGGTGTTATGGTTAGGTTGCACATAGTATTGGGCCGCACCTGCGGGGTTGTCCTCGCAGGTGTGATTTACCTGCTGGGTGGTTTACCCAGGATTATGTACCAACTATGGGGAAGCTCAGGTTTTAGGGCCTGGGGCTAGGGTTTAGGGTGGCTAAGGGTTAGGGTTTTGGGTTGAGAAGTACTAGCAGTATGTTTGAAGCTTGCTGCACTTGTCCCAGGATTTAATAAAGTGAAGGATAATGGGTTATTAAGATGATTTGTTGACACTTGGAATGCATTCCGCGACACAACTCCATGAGTTCTTCACACTTGAAATGGTTGAGTCAGGTTGGCTGCTATACAACTACATTAAAAATTTAAAAACTTTATTTGAGTTCAACTGTTTGTCATAAATGTTTGCTTGCTTTGTACGCTGATGTTTTTAAATAATTTTGTGATAAGCTCTTCAACGGTTTATGATTCACGATTGCTTGCGATGTTTTTGTACAATTTTCATCACCAGAAGTGATTCACTTGAAAGTGGCAATCTTTCTCAAAAAGGGGTAATTGCCGTTCCGGTTGTGTATTCAATGTTTGACGGTTTTGTATTCTCTTCTTTGCCTGTGCTTGTGAGTGCTGTTGGTTTTACTAGGGGCATTGATGTATCCCAATTCTTGACATCTAGTATTTACATATCATGCCCCTTCCTTCTGCCTCTTTCTTGTTGTTGTCATGCATTTGCTTTTTTTTGGTCCTGATGATTCGAGTTCAGGGTGTGATTCCCACCTCTCTGGAGCGTTCCATGTACGTCACGTTTTTGGCAGGTTGCTTCCGCTCTGTCAGATTTGGACTGACCGAGGCCCACGGGTAAGCTTAAGTCCTGAACAACCGTACCATCCTTCGGTAATTGCTCAACCCTGCAATCCATTTACATCCAATTTTTAAACCACCAGTAACTTTCTGCCAGATGCGTTATGCACCAGTAGCTGGATACTACTCTCTCTGTGGCTGAGCCTGGGGCGGTCCGTTTTTGTTTTAAGTGCAGGGGGAATCCGCATGGGGAAAAACAGGCCCGGAGGTACTGGTGGTTTAAATTCCTCATTCAATAATAAAACTAAATAAAAAAAATAATGATTGACCTGATCAGGCTGGATAGTATGTAGTCATGGCACTGAGTATAGAATAAAACAATGCTAGCCGGTACCCGGGCGCGGCGGGCTGCGTAGGGCTGAAATGTGCTCACCTGCAGGATGGTATCAAGGGATGATGGTGCAAGGAAAATGAGCAATCGCAAAATGACCGAGGCTACCAAAGTGGCCAGGGGGCGCTTGCCCGGCCAGGCCAAAAATATATATATATTCTCCCTCCCTGCCTATGGTTTACCGGTCAGCTCTGTCTGACGATATATACAGTCTGTAGAGTTTTCCATCTGGTGTGGGGGAGTGATAGTCTGCTTTGATTTTGGTCACAGGTACCTTGAGGGCAGTGGTTGGTGCCCACCTCAGGGTATCAGTTGTCGGCCAGTCGTTGATGCTTAACCACAGCCGGGGTTAAGGTGGATTATCACTTACAGCAGGGTTGCATCCCGGCTGACCGCCGACCCCGACCGCCGACCGTATTGCAGCCGACCAGTTGGGCCGACTGGTCGGCGGTCTGCCGACCACTGCGACTAGTGAAAAAAAAAAAAAAAAAAAAAAA